AGGCTGGCCGGTCGGCTCTTGCAGCCACTCCGCTAGCTCTCTCTGGAACATGTCTCGACTCCTGGCGTCCCAAAGGCCAAGAACTCTTCGAACTTGTGGCCCGCAGGCTGCGAGCATGACATCCCGACGACGGCTGGCAGTTGGCTATATAGAGCCAGAGTAAGCCCGGGCACTGCATCACTCCTCGTACGCCCACCCCTTAAATTCAAACGCCCGAAAGATTCTGAGGGTCCCTAAAGTGTACATTTATAGGGACCCTCAAAGCATGGAGAAGTTCTTACATTTGGTATGATATTGAGGGTCCCCATTAATGTACATTTATGGGGACCCTCAAAATACACATATTTTGATAAACTGGTACCCTGTGGTAGTAGAGGTCGCTGATTTGGTCCCTGAATCTATTCCGGAGAGAGTCCAATATGCCAATATGGAGGATTGGAGGACTGTGAATCCTGTAAAGCGGTCTGCAAGCCTTTTTATCAATGTACCATGAGTCGAATGACTGCACAAATGACTTGAAGGGCCTTGAGCCATCATATCCGCGGAGTGTGTGAATAGGTCAATGTGCAACAAAAAGCAACACAGGGGGAGGGGTTTCGAGCGTGGCTAAAGCTGCACTTTGGCACGGTCATCTGTCTAAGGTCGTGCTTGGATGGGACCACTTTTCGCTTTCCGTCCTCTGCAGTCATGGATCCTACCCTATTGCGTGACTGTGCAACTGATGCTACCAGACACAGCTGTAGCGCTCATGCTTTATTCTATTGCCCTTTACTCCCGCGAGGTGCGCTAGAAAAATTTGACAGCCTGAAGCCGCGGGAGCCGGCGGAACACGCCAACGGCGGTTAAATATGTGCATACTTCTCTGAATAACCCTCAGAAACTGGCCCAGCAAAATGTTGATGAAATCTGAATCGGCTACCCGAAGCTGATCTTTAAAGCCACCAAAAAGAAGGAAAAGCGATTGGGCGAGGTTCAGGTTCCATTTGAGCGTGCGAGCGTTCAGGGGAGTGATGAAGCCTTGCAAATGAATCAAACGTAGCTTCAAGCCCCTTTGTGACTTAGTGAATTGATGTGTGTCCTATTGGTGCCAATGCCAGGGTCTACAAGTTTAAGGGTTGGTTTTGACTCCAGCCAACTTAACTGCTTAAAAGTGTGATGCTGAACATGGCAGGTTGCTGCGTAGCCCCTCCAATCGCAGCTGTTTGGATTCATCCAGCCATGTGGCCCCCAAAAAGCGCAACCCCCTGAAAGCAGGTCGGGGGGCTCGGAGGATTGTGCACTTTAATGAACAAACAAATGCCGTCCTGGATGGACCCGCTGCAAACAAAATGATGTGATTTCTATATCTCTCTCTATCTCTCTTCGCCCTCCCTCCCCATTATTCTTCTCTCTCTCTATCTCTCTATGTCCGCTCTTTCTGCCCTTCACTATTTACTCCTTCCTTCATTCCTTTCTTTCTTTCTTCCCTTCTTGCTTTCTGTTGTTCTATCGCTCTCGTTCCTTCTTTCTTTCGTTATGTCTTTCTGTTTATGTGCTCTTTCTTTCTATCTTTCTGTCCTTCTTTCTGTCTTTCTTTGTTTCTTTCCTTCCTTCCTTACTTCCGTACTTCCTTACTTCCTTCCTTGCTGCCTTCCTGCCTTCCTGCCTCCCTGCCTCCCTGCATTCCTGCCTTCCTGTTCCTGCATTCCTGCCTTCCTTCCTGCCTTGATTCCTGTCGGTCTTTCTTTGCTTCGTTTTTTCTTCATTTTGATTTTTCGCTCATTCGTTGTTTTGGTATTTCGTTCTTTTGGTGCGTCTTTCACTGTTTATGTCCGCATCTATGTCTTCATTTGTTGAGTTGTTCTTTCTGTGCGTTGTCCTGTCCTTCCGTATGTCTTTCCTTATCAAGTTACCTCTTTATATATCTGCATGTTTCTACGTAATTGCTTCTGTGTGTGTATTTATTTCATCGTTTGTTTGTTGATGTATTTTCTGTATTTGTTTATTTCTTTCTTTATTTCTTTCTTTCTTTCTTTCTTTCATTCCTTCCTTCCTTCCTTCCTTTGTTCGTTATGTACTAATGTATTTATTTCTTTATTTATTTCATGGTGTACGTCTTTTTTTTCTTTATTGCCTTCTTGCTTCCTTTATTTTGTTCTTTCTTTCTTTCTTTCTTCCTTCCTTTCTTTCTTTCTTTGTGTATTTCTCTATGTCTTCCTTTCTTTCTGTCTTTCTTGCTTTCTTGATGTCGTCATCTCTTTATGTTTATTCATGGACTGATTTACTTGTGTCAGCATTTGTTTCTTGATTTCTTTCTTTCTGTCCTTTTTAGTTTTCATTTATGTCTGCCGCAATTTCTGCATTTATTTCTTTAGGTTCTTCTTAATTATGTAGTTGTCCCTGTCTCTATTTGGCTAATTATTTCTTTATGTCCTTCTCATGGATGTATTTAGTTTGGTCTTTCTTTCTTCATGTTGTTATGTATGCATGTTTTTGTGTTTTTGTTAGTTCTCTCTTCCTTTATTTACTTCTTTATTCACCTAGCCTATTTCTTTCTATCTAGATTTCTGCCTTTCTGCCTTTCTGCCTTTCTGCCTTTCTGCCTTTCTGCCTTTCTGCCTTTCTGTGTCTGTGTCTGTGTCTCCGTCTGTGTCTGTGTCTGTGTCTGTGTCTGTGTCTGTGTGTGTGTGTCTGTGTGTGTGTCTGTGTCTGTGTGTGTGTGTGTGTCTGTGTCTGTGTCTGCGTGTGTGCGCCTGTGTGTGTGTGTCCATGTGTGTCTGCGTTTGTGTGTCTGTGTTTGTGTGCGTGTGCGTCTGTTTGCTATGTGTGTATGTGTGTGTGTGTGTCTCTGTGTGTCTCTGTGTGTCTCTGTGTGTCTCTGTGTGTCTCTGTGTGTCTCTGTGTGTCTCTGTGTGTCTCTGTGTGTCTCTGTGTGTGTGTGTCTCTGTGTGCCTCTGTGTGTCTCTGTCTGTGTCTGTGTGACTCTGTGCGTCTCTGTGCGTCTCTGTGTTTCTCTTTCTGTCTCTGTGCGTCTCTGTGTTTCTCTTTCTGTCTCTGTCTGTCTCTGTCTCTCTGTCTGTCTGTCTGTCTGTGTCTGTCTCTGTCTGTCTCTGTCTGTCTCTGTCTGTCTCTGTCTGTCTCTGTCTGTCTCTGTCTGTCTCTGTCTGTCTCTGTCTGTCTCTGTCTGTCTCTGTCTGTCTCTGTCTGTCTCTGTCTGTCTCTGTCTGTCTCTGTCTGTCTCTGTCTGTCTCTGTCTGTCTCTGTCTGTCTCTGTCTGTCTCTGTCTGTCTCTGTCTGTCTCTGTCTGTCTCTGTCTGTCTCTGTCTGTCTCTGTCTGTCTCTGTCTGTCTCTGTCTGTCTCTGTCTGTCTCTGTCTGTCTCTGTCTGTCTCTGTCTGTCTCTGTCTGTCTCTGTCTGTCTCTGTCTGTCTCTGTCTGTCTCTGTCTGTCTCTGTCTGTCTCTGTCTGTCTCTGTCTGTCTCTGTCTGTCTCTGTCTGTCTCTGTCTGTCTCTGTCTGTCTCAGTCTGTCTCTGTCTGTCTCTGTCTGTCTCTGTCTGTCTCTGTCTGTCTCTGTCTGTCTCTGTCTGTCTCTGTCTGTCTCTGTCTGTCTCTGTCTGTCTCTGTCTGTCTCTGTCTGTCTCTGTCTGTCTCTGTCTGTCTCTGTCTGTCTCTCTGTCTCTGTCTGTCTCTGTCTGTCTCTGTCTGTCTCTGTCTGTCTCTGTCTGTCTCTGTCTGTCTCTGTCTGTCTCTGTGTCTCTGTCTGTCTCTGTCTGTCTCTGTCTGTCTCTGTCTGTCTCTGTCTGTCTCTGTCTGTCTCTGTCTGTCTCTGTCTGTCTCTGTCTGTCTCTGTCTGTCTCTGTCTGTCTCTGTCTGTCTCTGTCTGTCTCTGTCTGTCTCTGTCTGTCTCTGTCTGTCTCTGTCTGTCTCTGTCTGTCTCTGTCTGTCTCTGTCTGTCTCTGTCTGTCTCTGTCTGTCTCTGTCTGTCTCTGTCTGTCTCTGTCTGTCTCTGTCTGTCTCTGTCTGTCTCTGTCTGTCTCTGTCTGTCTCTGTCTGTCTCTGTCTGTCTCTGTCTGTCTCTGTCTGTCTCTGTCTGTCTCTGTCTGTCTCTGTCTGTCTCTGTCTGTCTCTGTCTGTCTCTGTCTGTCTCTGTCTGTCTCTGTCTGTCTCTGTCTGTCTCTGTCTGTCTCTGTCTGTCTCTGTCTGTCTCTGTCTGTCTCTGACGGTCTGTCGGTCTGTCGGTCTGTCGGTCTGTCGGTCTGTCGATCTGTCGGTCTGTCGGTCTGTCGGTCTGTCGTCTGTCTGTCTGCCTTCTTTTCTGTTGTTCGCTTTTTCTTCTCTTTTCTTTGTCCCTGTCCAAGTTTCTTTGCTTGCTTCATTCCTTTCTTCCTTCCTTCATTCCTTGCTTCCTTCCGTCTATCTGTTTCTTCTGTGCCTCTTCTGTGCATCTTCTGAGCCTCTTCTGTGTCTCGTCTGTGTCTCGTCTGTGTCTCATCTGTGCCTCTCCTGCTGTCTCTGCGCCTGTCTCTGTGTCTCTCTTGTCTCAGTTGTCTCTGTCTCTGTCTCTATCTGCTTGTCTCTCCCTCTCTCTATCTCTCTCCCGCTCTCTCTCTCTCTCTCTCTCTCTCTCTTCCTCTCTCGCACTCTCTCTGTCTCCACATGCTTGGCTGTGTGTGTGTGTGTTAAAACTATGGACGCCCTTAGCTTCCCCTTTGCGTCCGTTCAAATCAGTCCAAAGAAAGTTTCTATCGTTTTGACGCAAGTGAATAGCCACATGCACAACTGAAAGCATGGAGGACATCTTCCAGATGTTGCTTGCTTTTTCACTCAGCTGGTCTGGCCAGTAAAGCTGTGCCAGCTGCAAACGCCGATTGCGAGCTCTTGTTGGAACTAGAGTGACTAAATCGCTGCAGTGAATTCTCAGTTGCTGGCTCAAGAGTGGGTGTTGGTAAGGCACATTGCTCTAAAGCTGACTTTGACCGTTGACAACTGGATCAAAACGTGAGCCCAGTCATCTCACCAGCCTTGAAGGTCACTGGACAGTGCAAATCTCCCTGGGCATTTCTGTGGAAGTGCCTCGGGGAGGTGACTTTGGAATGCCAAGCAAAGCGACACTCTCCTGAAGTCAACTGGCTGATACTGTAAGGGTCCGAAATTTGGACCTGATTAAGCGCTTGCTTCCATAAAGGTTGATGTAACCATTTCCATGCGGGAAGATTGGGAGTGCCACTTGTGGCAACGGCTTCCAAGGGCTTCCATGGAAGCAACACCCATTTTGCCATGGTAGCTCCTGGCCTCGGGAGCCGAAGGGCATTCCCGTCTTTCCAAGGTGCAAAGGCACCAAGTCCTTCACCTCCAGCTTGCCCCCGTGCACCGGGTGCTGCCCGTACTTCTTGATGTACCTAGCCAACTTGGCTTTTTACCGCCAGACCTATACCAGTCAGGGAGGGGCAAATGCCCCCCAGGAATGGTTTCTGAAAGGGCTGCAAACAGGCCAAGGTCCCTTCAAGCTTTTGAGAACCTCCGTCGGGCTCCTTCTCATCAAAGGCCTCTGCAGGCATGGGTTTTGGAGCTATTGAGTCAATGTGTATGTACACATCTCTATAATATCGCAGAGGCGCAATCATATCCCTTACAAACAAGTGGTATTGTTCAGCTCCATACCTCCATATTGCTACAACCAAAGGCCGCTACTTCTCAGAGTCAACTTCTCAAAGCATAGGATCAGAAGCTCTTGGCCTAGCTCTGAAGTTCCAAAGGAAGCCCAGGAACCCCCCAGTTGCTTGTCCTCAGAACACGCCTGAGAGGCATGGCAAAAACCGGTTCAAGGTTCTTGCTGCATGCCACCACGTTGCCTGTTGAAAGTCCTTGCGAGGCTGTGCCATGTCCATGTTTAACTCTGAACCCGCGGGCTGGTATGAAGCTTGAAACAAGCATCCCTTGTGGACAAACCAACCCTCATGGCCCACGTTAAAAGTAAACCAGGGAACTGAATAGGAGGCTCTCTGGAAACCAAGCTTGGAAGGGCACAGCCCTCAACCTCCTCTTTGCGGATGGCCCTCCTGCGAACCCCGCTCACCTCCGCAGCCCACGCTCGATTTCCTGGATATTGCAAGTAGGAAACGAGGAGAAATCCGATAGTTTGCCATGGATCGTGGTTGGTTGCCTTGCAATATGTAGGGAATCTACCAACCTCCCGGCACTTCAAGATGTGGGCGATCTCGAAGACGGAACCATCCCGAGTGCCCACCTAGGCCGCAAACAACCTTCCTCTCAAAGATCCCTGTTTGGAGCAAACTCCCAGGTAGACTTCAACCCAAGGTGGATTGAATTGACCAAAAGGATAGTCTCTTTGGGGCAATCTACAACTCATTCCACTCATTTTCTGCACTTATGCAAAATTAGGGGAATGAGAGAAATACAATTGGCCCCTGCCTCTTCAATAGGATGGCACGCAAAAAGAGCCGAAGCTCGGAAATCTCTCTCTGACCTCGAGAGATTACCAAAGGATCGTCGCCGATGCTTGAGGTTTGGCTCCCGGCCGGCCGGTCGAAGGGCTGCAGGGAGAGAAAGCAACCTTCGGTCGAGTCGGATGGTGAAGAAACGGTCAGATCTGAACGCCGGTCCAAGGTCAAAGCTTGAGGAAAAGCGGCTCAGGCCTCTGGCAAACCTGAAAAACCACAAAAAATATGCGCCCGCGCCATTTTCGTTGAATGGTGCTTCTTTCTGATTGTTCTGCCCTCGGTGCCCCGGCAATTCAGCGGCAGCTTGGAGAAGGGTGTCCACTTGGCCGCCTGCGCCAAAAACAGAGACACCGGGCAGCGTCGCTTGCTAATCTTAGCCGTATTCCCGCAAAAAGCTGTTCCAGGTCAAACCCGAAAAGATACAGAGATAGAGGCAAAGCACAAATACCATGAACGAGCAGAGCTCCTGTCATAGGTCGATTGCTGTGGGCATCTCTGTGATCTGGCTGACAGCTATTGGTTAGCATTGTTTGGGTGTTTCCTTTCGTGGAAGTTGGCTTCTCGTGTTCCTTCGTGCTCCCTTCAAGCACCAACCAAAAGCGCTCCCTTTCTCCTGGATTTGCCAGCACTGTTCTTGCCGTTGTGAAAGAATAGGTTGCCAGTATGCTTCACCCAAAAGACCAAAGACACCCATCTCCGGGCAAGCCAAAGGTCTCTCTTTTGGAGTTGGCATTATTTGTGTGGCTTCCACCATCTTGAGGCAAGCCCATGCCATGTCTAAGAGCCCAAGGAGCCTTGTCAGGACCTTGTCAGGACCTTAGGCGCTATTAGCCCCTGGGATTTTCGCGTCAGGCGCCCTCGCACGTAAACGACGCGGCCTTAAAGCCTCGACCATCCTGCGCCCACTCCGTGGGCCTCAAGGTCCGGCAGGAAAGGCTAGGAGAGAAACTCGAAGATCTTCGGTTGAGTCAAAATCGAAACCCCGTATTCAAACGGTCTACACAGAACCAACGAATTGAAAGGCCGCCGCACCCATTTATGGCTGGCCCTACAATTCCCTGGGTGTGGGTGTTGATTGTGAGTTCCTTGGAAGTCAACAAGAAACAAGTCTTAGGCTTGCAGGTTTGCATCTTTGTGATTTCGCTCTCGTGGATGGATTTGAAGACGCAGTGGATTGGTGCTCTCGGGGTTTGCGTGCTGTGTTTGTTCACTTGCTCTATCACGTCTTTTGAGCAGTAGTTGTTAGCTAGTGACATGATGCGCCTGTGGACCGGTTGTCTTTCGCTGGCCTTTGCTTTCTTGTTGTGTTGAGCCCTAATGCTTTAACAAATAGGGAGAAAACAAACTGTCGCCCAGCATGTTTTGTTTGGTTGGCTGCACATGCCATCGAAAGTGAAGCAGGGAAACAACGCTTCCGCAACGGCCTTGGGGAGTCATATCCTTGGCTTTGTCATGGAGCACAATGCTGATCGGAAGGGTGAACAACAAAGGAGGGCGGACCTCCTTCTTTAAAGACATAAATAAAGGCTTGAAACAGGGTGAGCGTATGACATGAGATTAGCTTCTTTTGGTTTCCATTGAGCTTCCTTCCTCGAGGATGGTCCGCGTTTGAGACGGACCCACGGGCACGTTGTTCCCTTTCAGGGAAGGGGATGCATATAGAGGATGTAGAAGACTAAAGCGATCTCACTCTGGCCCATCAGTTTGACTCCTAGGGGCTATCAAAGTCAAAAACTGGAAAATGGATCTCAACACAACAAATACGGGGCTCCCTAAATTCTAGCACACCCACAACTGTGCCACAAAACCAACTCTGGGACACACCATCCAAGGCAGTGCCAAAGGTAAAAAAGGCATCACTCGCCCAGCGGAATCATTGGCCTATTAGCTGCCTGCCTCTATCAGGGGCATTTCCGGTTTCTTGGGGTTCAAGTGTTTCTTGCTTCGTCTCAGCCTAGTCCAGAAGGGATTCGTGTGGTTGGCCCCAAAGGTTGGCCTTAGGACAGCCTCCCTTACGGGGTAGAGCGAGTCAAGGCTTCACTTCGGGCCTACAGTTTCTCAGACTTGTGAAGCCAACGATTGAAAATGCAAATGCCAAGCAAAACTTGGTGCTAAAAAGAACCGCAAAGGAAACCAACCCATGTTGAAGAGCGCACTCTACAACTGTTTGCAGCTCAGCACAGAATCATCTCCTGATAGGGGCTGGACAAACAAAAGGGTTTTTCCTCTTCCACAAGGGTCTGGTATCTGGGGCACAGGCCGCAGGTGCAGCATGTCCTTGCTGTGTTGGTTCTTTCCTCAGCCGGGTTTATCACCAAATTTGGGCCGGCTCTGGGTGATCCTCGCTCAGCTCCATATCTGTCGACTCATGAAGTTGTCGACTCGAGCTATGCTTTGGGCGGATGACCCGATGAGCAAAGGAACAACGGTCGAGACTGCCTTTCGAGCCTCATCACGAGCTTCAAAGGCAAATTGTCCAAAGCCTGAGGAGTCCTCCCACTTCGGTGTGCTAAGTGGGGGCTCGAAACCCTGTCGATTTCAGCTCAGCTGTCTCAGCACACACACACACACACACACTTGTGGGGCTGTCCTTTGCTTAAGCCGCGCTGAAAGCAGGGGTAAGCGCTCAAAGTCCATTCCGACCATTCCAGTTTGCAAGGACCAACTGGTAACCATTCAATGCACAGTACAATCGCCTTGCAGCCAAATGAGCCATCATCAAAATCTGGCTTGCCACAACCCCGGTGGAGAACCAAAGGGGCGGTTCTTGCCTTCTGCACTCATTTGTGCTAACCCCCCCGCTTCGAAACGGTCGCTCGCCGGTGCCACCTTGCTACAGTCCAGCTAAAGCGTGGCTCAAGATCAAAGGGATGCTTGTGGGACCACTCAAGCTGGCATTTCATGACCTTTTACTTTCCCTTTCAGCATCCACGAGATCCGATGTTTTTTTCGGGCCAAATTAGTGTGTCTCTGAAATGGATGGAGCCACCATCCCGAGTTTGGTTCGAAGCGCAACCCGTAGGCAATGTATGCCAGGGGCAAAAACTCTTTAGCTATGGCTTCCTACTAAGGAACCCCTCGTTATCAACGTCCAAAAGTCCAATTAAGGGCTCGATGAACATCCTTACCAACCCGAAGAAAAGGCCTAAACACGGCATGTGTTTTCTTGGCCTCTCCTGTAAATCCACCCCAAATCTGGGAGAGGTTTTAAACGAAGCCATACCAAGGGTGAGTTGTTGAACATATGATTCTAGAATTCGTGGCTTTGAAGATGCACCAACACTTTAGCGAAATATGTTGCTGTTAACTGTTGCTCTTCCGGAAAGCACTACCGCACTGCTCGGGTTTGGCCGGCCGCTTAGGGCTCTCTTGCAAGGTGCTTTAGCATGGTCAGGTTGCTCAACACACATCACACATACCCTCCTGGGATAGCATCAACACCAGGAACCCTTCAAAAATGGCAATCCTTAGATTCAAGTTGAACTCAAAAAATGAAGCCGAGACGCGTCCCTGCTCTTGATACATACTCACATCGTGAAGGAGAAAGCTTCTACGTGTGTGCTGACAAGACTACCCAAAAACAGCAACAACAGCCTCTTGAACAGAGAGCCATCGCCACTGCCTCCGTCCAAATCACCACACGGAATAGAAGTCAATATCCACCGATCTGTTTTTGAAAACCAAAAGGGAACAAAACTTGCTTTTTCCTCGAGCAAGTGGAAGACCGCGCACTGGAAACACTGACCGCTCGTCAACAGGCGCCGAGTCGATACGGCTGGACAAGGCGCCCATGGTGAGCTAGCGATGCACCTTGGAAGGAGATAAGGAGCATGTCCAATGACCAAACAAACCACCCCACTAGTCGAGCTTGGGAAGGGCAAACAACCGACAGATCCACGTGTTGCGGTGATCATTCCGAGCAAAAAGCATTTAAGCCAAGGTTATCCGACATGGAAAAATCAGTGAATTGCTTGTTGCTTTGTTTGTGGATAACCTACAGAGTCTCCCAATGTCTCTCCCAGATTGGCCAAAGAGTGATAGACATTTTGACCCATCAAGCAGTACCTACCCATTTGATACGTTTCTGGGAAACCAATCCCATCGTGAGTCCAGGCTGTGTCTCAGTCCATGAGCCAATCTAGGGGTGTTTGTACATTCCACGTTTACACACCCCTGGGGGAAAATGAGCCCAAAAGGCATGCTGGTGTTCATACCCTTCTCCCCAAAACCAGTATGTATGTAATTACATATATATATATATATCCATTGAAAAGTGGCTTGGTAACCAGGGGACTAAAAGGTGTGCACAACGTTGGGGCCCCCGGCCCTGAGCTCAAGGAGACGTTCTGCGCCCATGCGCAGCAAAAAGTACCGAAAAGCACCCTACGTGGGCGTGCTGGGTATTCTCGGACTTGGCTTTCTGCGTTCTGGGTGAAACATCCAAAGTTCCTCTCAAGCTGTCTCAACTGACGAACGATCACTTCCTGAACAAGAGCTGGCTGCCCAAAAACCAAACGCTGCAAGTTGGCCCATTGGCAGTGTCACTTCCTGTTGGATGCTTTGCTAGTTGCGTGGGTTGATCGTCCCGCTGCTTCTCGTGGGGCGCATTGTGAGCAGTTGCCGCATGTGCTGAGTTGACGGCTCTCTGACTGTGGCATCTGTCAGGTCGCATCAGCTGAGCCAGCGCCAAATGTATCCCGTGTGTGTATGTCAATGCATGACAATGTATGAGTGTGTAAGGCAGCTCAAATGGGAGCCATGGCAACACATCCTCTGCAAGGGTCGCTCTTTTCCAAAGTGGAAGTCGATAGAAAGTGGACAGTGGTGTTCCAAACCCCACCGGTCTGGTTGTTTGGTTGTTGGAGCGACAGCAGGTAAACAAATGGGAAAGGATGAATGCGGCTTGCAGCCCACAGCCGATCAACCTGACATTTTTGGCCTCCCCCCTTGTTTCAGCCCACAACGCTTGACCGATGGGTACTTCATGAAAACTTGTAACCCCACAGGCAAATCGGAAAACTGTGTAACTCTGGCACCAAACAAGCCCATGCCATGGGCTGTCTCCCAGCCCAATGCTTGGTTCTCATCGGCAAACCCCACAACTGGCTCTTCTCGCAGCCCATTTTCACAGTCACAATCTCAGTTGGTTTTTGACTGTGTGAAGACTTCCGTGACAGGCGCAGGAATAAGAAGACGGTTCTTCTGTGGCTTCAATTTCGCGAAAATCCTCACGGGGTCGATCCCACGGCTTGCCCGAGAACGGCTGTGCGGTCGCGCGGCGCTCGGATGAGCGAACTTCGCGCGTTGCAAATCTGCACTCCAGCGAGCTCGCCGGCGAAACCTTCCTGGCTTCAAGAGAAACAAATCCGAATCCCCCAACGTCATGGTGTCGCAGCGTCTAAAAAATTGGAACTGGTCCTCTTCAATGTTCACAGCCGTCCCACAAACCAGAGATTCCAAAATCCTCCCTGAACCGTGCAAGCGAACCCACCACTCTTCCGATCACAGGCCTGCTAAAACGCCTGCATGCTGCGAGTCATCCCTCGGAACATGTGACATAATCAGGACATTCAGATTTCCCTTGCAACAAGCACAATGAGCAAAGCGTCGACATGTCTTGGGGAATAGATTCGGTTTCCTGAGCCTGACGGACAGCTATCCTGGTCGAAATGGTGCTCATCTTAATTGGTGGAAGAATGTTTTGTGTAAGCCTAAGCAATCAGAGACTGCTAAGTCTGCCCCAGCATACACCCAGGATGAGATTGGGTGAACTTTTCCCGCGGCAGTTTGAAAGAAACCCCTGGCATACACCCAAGGGCGCCAAAAAAAGCTGTTCCGTTCTGATCCTGGAGCCATCGGCAGCCATCGACCTATCCGGGCACCGAACCCGCCTTTTCAGTTCGACTTCCAGCCCACAAAGGCACCCTGGCCACGCGCAAGGGCGTCGGCTTGATTGCATCCGATGGATACCAAACCAATTCATCACAGGACCCCAAGAGCAAGTCCCGCCCCACATCCCCAGCACCAAGGAAAAGAGTTCCTCTTCAAAAGCTCTCCCTCACAGGCGGAATAGGTGATATTGGAGATGGGGGTATGCTGCCTGTGCCAGTAGCCACCTCTGCTCCACGCACAGAGATACACACTCATTTCGCCAGACATTGCTCATATCATACATATTTGGCTTTACTCATTCTCTTCGTGGCTGTACTCCGACATCCGAGGTGAGTTATTTGGACACGAAAGGGTTGGAGATCCCCATTCAGACGCGCAGGGGCTCACATCAAGCTGTGCTTTCTGAGAAAGGGCGCATCCCCTAGTTGAGTTGAAGGCAAAAGAAAGAGCGGCTCACATTTCTCCGAGTCGCCGGGTCCAGGGATTTTGATGGTTCAGCTAACGGGTCATAAAGGTTCGAAGGGTTACAGCTCGCATCAGGCTTATTTCTTCGAATGGGCAAACAAATCCTTGGAACTTAACATGGCAACCAAACACACGGTCTCTGAAAGGATGTTCCCGGAAAAGAGCCTTTTTTGTGTGTACTAAACTCGAAGAGCATGTACCATGGTTACAGTCGCCCCGATGGTGCACATCGGTCACCATGGCAACATGCTTCGCTTCGCCTACGTAAGTGTTACAAACTGTGATTCGGGCACGAGCCTGTGCCCAGGCAATGGGTAAGTTGGGGTAAACAAGCCACAAAAGAAAGGTTCCCCAAAAGCAAACCAATCCCCGGTCCCAAAGATCAGGGTTTCCCACACACCAGAGAACAACAACCAAAGGAAAACAAACCAAACAAGAAAAGGGTTAACCCGCAACCTTGGTCGACAACAGGCCGCACGACTGGTCCCTACCAACCTGGCGGCGGCCCGAGGTCTCTTTCTCCCCCGAGATGCCGTCGGTCGACGCAGGGGTTCGGCGACGCCCATTCGAGGCGCGACGGAACCCAAAACTTGAGCCAAACACCACAGGTCAGTCACTACCGCGACATCCCTGGTGATGAAATAAACCATGGCTAATCACACCCCCCTCACGAGGAGCCCGTCATATGACGGGTGGAGCGTGCCATTTACTGATAGGATTTAACTACTCGCATACGTCCGCAAACAGCTGGACACTACCGCCGTCAGCGGTGGAGCAAACCCACAAAGGCAGTCGCGCGACATCCCGGGCATTAAATTCCCGCCACCACCCCGAATTAATCGGGGTAACGCTGTCCAACATACCTTGTGGAAAAGTCCACCTGACGACAATAGGTCACAACTGTTTGCATCAGAAATGCAAGAAGTTTAATTCTTATCAGAAGCCATGAAATAAAAGATAACGTATGTCCATTAGTACCCTCGCCTAACGGCAAGAGGTACTCCTGACCATGCGTACCTGAAAAATGCCTGAATTCCGCAAACCCGGGAGTAACCCCCCATCAGTTTGCTTTCCCTCTCACTCACACTGCTTCCGGATGAGCACGTCCAGCAGCTCAGCAGCAGTACGGGAGAGACATGACCTCCGCGCCTCAGCGGTCCGGGAGGAACATCACCACCTCCGCACCGCGCTGACCGTTGGAGAACGGACGCAAGCCTATCGGCCGCAATCCTCGTGACTCAGCCTACCGGCTATCGTCACGTCTCCTCCGGTCACGTCCGCCCCGCGCACGGTCCCTATCACGATCCCTCTCGGATCTCCTGCGATCATCTCGCCTTCGATCTCGCTCCCGATCGAGTGAATCATCATCACGACGATCACGAGCATCGTCCCTCCTCCTGTCGCGATCATCCTCGCGCCGCGGACGATATCTGCGCCTCCTCGACTCTCTGGACTCCCTGGTGTCCACGGTCCTAACGGACCTCCGAGAAGGAGTACGGGAAACATCCGACTCCCTACGCCTCCTCCCAGATTGAGAGTTCGTCACGATCTGGTTGAGAGCCTCCAGTGCCGACGCATCCTCACCATTTCTGATGAAATCCCTAACCTGCTTGTTCAGCACTCTGTTGGTGGAGATCGTCAAGAAAGCGTCCACCACCGAACTCTCAGGCAGCACCAGGAAGTGGCCCTCCACCGGGCTCGCCGCAGCCCGCTCAGCAGACTGCAGCCGGATCTCCCCGCCTTCAGGCTTCTTTGCCATCGCCTTGGAGGCCGTCAAAGGCGCTACCGCATCCTTTGCCGAAGATCTGCCAAGCGCGGAGTGAAGATCATCCCCGCTAGCTTCTCTCGCTGCCGCACCTGGTCTGCTGTCGACGTCGCCAGGCCTCGTGGATGCCTCCCGCTTTGTCGACTCCTTCGCAGCCACGTCGGGATCCCAACGGGACTTCCTTTCTCTCTTCTGCCCTTCGGCCGACCCGCGGCTACCGCCGGGAGCGTCACCTCCGCCTGTCTTCTCCTTCTTGACCTCAACCTTCGGTTCGGCCTGCTTCGTCTCCTTAGCCACAGCTTTTGGAGCCGGAGCGCCTTCCCTTTCGGCTCTGCCTTAGGGACTGGGGTCACTTTAGCCTTGGCACTCGGCCTGGCCCCTTCAACCACCATCTCGGCCCAAGACTTCTTCGGCTGAGCTGCTGCTGCATCAACCTCCATCGGAGCAGGTCCAGCGTCATCCTTCGCCTTCGGGACGGATGGGCTACCGCCCTTACCGGATCCTTTACCCGGCACTTCACCTTGGCGGCGGGCCGGAAGGACTACCGCCCTTACCGCCCTTTTCCCCCTTCTTCCCTTTTCCTTTTCCGCCCTTGGGGACCGGTTCCTGCTTGGGACCAGGACCCGGCGCAGCGTGATGCACTGATTGGAGTCCCTCGATGTCCACGTTCAATGGTTCGGGTTGACGACCGTCAAGAACCGTCCTCACCCTTTCGTCGCTAACGTAGACGAATGGGTCACGGAATGGTGCGGGAGGCTCTGACTGTCCGGCACTGATCGCCTTCTGCACCTTGGCTATCGCCTCCTTCAACCTCTTCTTCTCATCATACCCTGTCTCCGATACCATGTACCCCCTGAGCTGCGACATCAACGCATGACTCTCCAGGATGTCCACGTCCTTTCGATGGGTCGGGTACAATGGGGTCAGATGACCAGCCGCGGAACCAATCACGTATGCCATCGGAATATAGAATGACAAGTACGTGTCATGACGAGCGAACTTCCTAACGGAAGTCGTCATACGCCTCCCCCACTGAGCAGCGTGTCTTGGGTTGGCCCGGAAGTACTCCGTGACCGACTCAAATCTATCGACTTGGTTGGTCTTGATCAGGTGCTTCGCCACCCACTTCTCCACAATCGCATCCGAGGCCGAAATCCCGGACACATAGGAGAATTGGAATAGCACCTTCGCCAGCTCATCCCACGCCGCATCGACACCTCCCTTGTCTTCACCAAGATAAGGGGGAAGTCTGATGCCGCTCTGCACCGTCATCCTCAGATCGGATGCCATTGAATAGGAAATCAAATTCCTCTTGATGACTCCGACCACTTCGGAGGGGATCCTCCTGGGCTTGAACTGCCCCATGGTCCTCACCCATTCCGGCACGATGTGGCATCTTTCGAAGTCCTTTTCCTCCGCGTTGGGGATAAAGTTCGGGTAAAAGACCGGGAGCGCGCACCCGGGACACAAGTGCATCCCATTCGGCATCAATTCTGCGCACCTCAAGCAGAACGTGGCAGTCACATTCAGCCTGATCTCTTCCCGTGATCGCCTGTGCTCTCCCCTAACGGGGGTGAAGTCACCGTAGTCCCATGCCCGATGGTACACTATCGTGGAATCATCGTACATATACGCCGCCTTCCAAGCCCCCATGTGGATCTCGTTCCTAACGGCAAGAGTCTTCCTTCTCGTCAAAAACACGGGTCCAACCAAGGACCCGTGCACCCGAAGATCCACCATTACCACCACGTACCTACCGGAGTAGTTCCGCAGCCTGTCCCTGACATACCACGAAGGCGATACCTCAGCATCCGGCGCCATGGCTCCCACAAGTGGGATCAGGCCCTCATCCTGCCTACCATCTCCAATGGTCTCGTACACATCGGGCCTCGTGATCAATATCTCGATCATGGCCTTTCCATTTCGCCTCACCCTTTGGAGCTGAACCGCCTTCCGAAAGTCCGAGTACTTCATGATGACGTATCCCACCATGGGGAGTTCATTCCAATGCATCTCATACATCAGAGATCCGCCAGGTGCATCTTCCTGAGTATACCTGTGCCTAACGGCACTGTAACTCAAGTCGCGTCCGAACCGCGTGTGCCTAACGGCAACCAACCTGGTGCTCTCCTTGAGGAGAACGCCATCCCCGTCGTACATGACCATGAGCATCGCCTCCACTTGCCCTATCGGGAAAGCTTTAAGCGTCGGAATAAAGAACTTCCAAGACATCTCAGCGTTCTCCATGCCCGAAATCTCCTTCAGGAACCAGATGGCCTGGTCACTTTTCACCCAGTTTCCAGCCTCGCGTCCGGTCTCCTTCAGCACACGTTCCTCGAATAACTCCGAGACTCTCTTTGAATTGATGACCAGGCCGTCGAAATCGCACGAGAGCAGTCTCATCAACTCCTTCGCCGCCTCCCGTCCTGCAACAGTGCCCACTGTCTCCTCGTAGTTCGGGAGGTATTCACCCAACCTCGTCTTCGAGGGAACCACCATCTGGCAAGTGACGGCCTCATCAGGGATAACTCCCGTTTCCCTTAGCTCCGGATTGATCTCTCGCCTATCGGCAAGATAATCCTCCTTCCCATCCAGTATCACAAGGTTGTAGGTCATCTTGCTCGCCGCCCCACTAGGCCTGAACTTCCTGCTATCATCCAGCTGGTCAGGAGCAAAGGGTCCACTAGGGGCAGCTGCACTCACCAGAGGCGCTCCTCGCCCAGAGCAGAGGTGCTTCTTGTGGAAGTTCACCATCTGATTCAGCTGCGATAGTGCGTAGGCACGATCCTCCAATGACGCACTC